CTGGTAAAAGAGGACAATTGGGAGAGGGGGTGAGAACACTCGCCTTCACCAAATAAAACAAGGCCAGGAACTCAGCTGGCTACGTAATAAACAAACTTCGGAGCACGGTCCAACCGACCACGCGGTTGGAGGCCTCCAGTAAACAAGAGCGGAGCGAACGCTACCGCTAACCAATAGCAAAATATAAGCAAAGAACCACTACTCACCTGTGTTAAATCACACACATAGTAGTCATAAACAACGTCGGAGCACAGTCCAGCCGACCACGCGGTTGGAGGTCTCCTAACAAGCGTGAGCGGAGCGAACGCTACCGCTAACCAACGGCGAAATATAAGGAAAACTACTCACCGGTGTTGAATCACACACATAGTAGTCAGACGCTGTAATTTGAGAGAGGCGGAAACCGCCGTAGTTCCCAACGAAACAGCAGAAATACCTTTGAACAGGGTTAAACCGTCGCAGCCCTAGGAGGGCGAACACGCTACTCCCGCAAACGGGCAGTCGGGCTTCCGACGACGGTAAAAAGTTCAGAAAAGGTCCAAAGGGCTGAAGCCCTGAATTGAACCGCGCGCGAGAAGAAAATAGGAGCAGAGCAGCGGATGACGTCGGGCTATATAGCCTCTGATTGGTCATCCGTGTCACACCTGTGACTCCGTTGGTATTATTACTCGAATCAGCGCATGCGCGAAGGGAACATTCAGTGCTTTCAGCACCGCCCTCTGGCGGTCAGGAGGGATGAAATAGAAACAAAATTTGAAACACCTGAAATATTTCTTGTTTTTTGAAAAATCTAAACGGAAAACAAGACACCCCCCCCCCCAAAAAAAAAAAAAAAAAAAACAAAACAGCAACAACAAAGAAACAGCTTGGTTATTTTTTTTGGTTAGAATTGAGCAAAAAATTCCCGGGATTGAGATGATTCCTGTTGTTAAAGTCCAGTATCAGAAAATGTAACAGTTCGAGCTTCGTTCAGTCCTGATCACTTATCAGCTGGTTGGTCTCACAGGTCTTCATCAGCGTTGCAGACTGGTATCAGTAGGGCAGTCTGACCTGGCACCAGTATGATCAGACGTGTCTGTATGACGATCCTGCAGGACTGACGAAAACTCATGATGCTGAATCTGTTTTGGGATTGACGACGACCTTTATTACACTTTATAAGCTGTAACTTTTTAATTTTGAGCTTCAGAGAACTGCAGAGCTTATAAATGTGTTGGGGCAGCATATTTCACATTTCATTACCTTTGTTCCAAATTCATGAACTACCATGGATGGAGAAGCCCTGACACAGCCTGTAGCACCTGAGGCTTTGACCAAATTCAAGAAATCTTTCTAACAGCGATGCAGCAATTAGAACGAGTTCACTGATGAAAGATTTGACTAGTGAATGTTAGTAGTTTTTGAGAGGAGTGTTTTTCTGGACTGGAATTGAACAAGGAATGCAGGTAAACCTTCATATTTTTGTTCCAATATATTTAAGTGTGTGGCATAGTGGCTCAGTTTGTAGAGCTGTTGCCTCTTAACGAGAAAGTCGCTGGATCAAATCCTGAAGAACGCAGAATGAACACATATTTGCTGAAAGTTTAAATAAGCAGCAATTAGCACAAACATTAGGAAATTAGCTAAAGCTGAAATTAGCAAAAAATAAATGGCTGAATAGTAGCTGAAAGACAGAATGAAGCTTAAACTACCAGGTGTAAGTGGAAAGAGCGGAAATGAGCTTCAAGTGGAATTAGGTGCAAAAAAATAAAATTTGCACAATGCACACACAAAAAAACAGTAGCTGAAAAGCAGAAATTAAAGCTGAAACAAGCGTAACAAGCTGAAATTATCAGAAAGAAGTTACTGTAATTAGGCTGAAAACAGCAGAAATTACCACAGAAATTTTGAATTGATCTGAAAACAAATGAAATTATAGCTTTAAAATGCTTAAAATAAAAGTTAGCTGAAAAGGTAGAACAAGCTTAAATTAGCATAAAGCAGAAAGAACATGTTTGCTGAAGGAAGCGAGCACAAAAAAGTGGAACGAAAAGCTGAAATTACCACAGCTGAAAAAAAAAAACAGCTGAAAAGCAGCTAAAAAAGCAGAAAGAACCTAATTAAATTACCAGAAGAAAGTGCATTTTTTTGCTGAATTAGGCTGTAAAAGTTGAAATTACTGCGAAAAATGTGGAATTAGCTGAAAAAGCTAAATTTAGCATAAAAACAGCTAAATAGTTGCTGAAATAGCAGAAAAAGCTGAAACACATAAATGAACTGATAGGACCATAACTAGCTGAAATTAGCAGAAAGAAGTTATAAGAAGCACAAAAATGTTATAGTTAGCAGAACTAATCAAAAAGGAGCACAAAACAGCTGAAATTAGCTGCTGAAAAAAGTTTAAATTTGCACAAGGAAACTGAAAGAACCTGAAGCAGAACAAAATGTGAAAGGAGCAGTAAAAGGTTGTAAACATCTAAAGATTTGAAGGATCGTAAAAATGAGCTCAATTTATTTTCTATGAGGAAAAAAAATTGCATGAAAAGGCTAAATATTTCAAAAAGCTAAAGTTGCACAAAATAGCTACATTTTTGAAAGAGCTGAATATTTTGATACTTGATTTGTTGAAATAGCACAAAAATTGTGGAACAAGAAAGATGCTGAAAAATGTATAGAAGAAAAATGGATCACAATAGTGTGAATGCTTCATAAACATTCACACTATTGTAAATTTCCATACACAGTCAGTTCTGGGGTGGGGGGGTGAGTTGCCTCAGACCCTCTTTATTTCACTTAACTATTTTTAATAACTCAGTACATATACAAGAAGTGGCATTTTTAGCTTTTTAGATTAAAACAAATACAAACTACCTTGAATAAAATAGCACCGCCTTCAGTATATTTATCTAAAGGTACTAATGTGCTGTGACTGCTGAGGAAGGAAATACAGATTTGGAGTCAGCAAATACATTTAAAAAAGTGTTGTTTGAAACAAATAAATTAAAAACACGTTAAAACCTAACACATTTTTGCATTACATTTGTAACGTCTAATTACCTGTCATGAAAATAAAATCTCACGGCAAAACAGTTCTAATATAAACATTTAGTCTGCTTAGCAAACGTTTTAAACATTCTTTGATGATTTAACATGTTCTAGCTATAACATCATAGCACATTAGAAAAAAAAAACTAGTCAATGCTGGAGTGTGTGTTCCTTTAAATCGGGGGTTCCCAACCCTGGTCCTTGAGGAACACCATCCTGCATGTTTTAGTTGTTTCTCTTCTCCAGCACACCTGATTCAGTGATTTAATTACTTCCTCATGTCCTGCAGAAGCCTGTTAATCACACATTCATTAAAATCAGGTGTGTCGGAGAAGAGAAACAACTAAAAGATGCAGGATGGTGTTCCTCAAGGACCAGGGTTGGGAACCCCTGATTTAAATCTCTCTAAACAATGCCCAAATAATATTTTTTACACTCACACAAAATAATTACATTCAGCACGCATATAAAATAGGTACAAAATGGAAAAGTCTAGATCCAGCTGGTTGTCGACTGTCATTGCAGTAGCCCGTTGTTGCATTATTCCCAGAAACATTGCACAACTGTTCCGTGTTATCATTTATCCCACAAGTCCATTTTTGATTGAGGTACTTAGGTTAATGATTTCCATTTGAAGCCAAAAACACACGTCCACGTCTGCTCGGTGTCCTTGTTTGTGTCCATTCTTGCTCTACGTAACGAGTGTTTTACTCAGTGGAGCTAGAAAACAGTCTCTGTGGTTTACGCTCAGAAATTATCAATTCTTTCCTGCTTTTCTATGGTTTGTGAGGGTTTGCTGGCATCACTGTTGACCTGTGAGTCTGGCTCCTGCTTTATTTCAGGTGACTCTTCGTAGGTAACGTTGTCGTACATTTCTCTCATTTTGATCGTCATCTCCAGGTTCGGTTTGGTCTGCTGGGCCTGAAGCAGGATTGCTTTGTTTACGCCAGGACCTGATGAAAAGAACCAGCGTCATTTACTGTAGTCCCAATTTACTGTTGTAATGTCAAAATAAAATAAAAAACCAGTGTGCATACCAAAATAACTGAGCAGCACAGGGAGGAATATGAGTCCATGAGCCATCCCCAAAAGTGTGATGACGAGATTTAACCGGAAGAAGAAAATCTGGATGAGCTGAGCTTTGGCAAATGCCAGGACGAGGATGCCGGGCAGGTTGGTCATCGCAACACCAGCAAACACCTTCAAGGAACAAGAGAGGCTCATTGAACTGTTACTTTATGTGCATATAAAGACTGCAACGCCATGTTTGTTTCTCTGAATTCAGTCTGAAAAGTTAGAACTGATGAGTTGCTGAAGTTTGTAGCTCACTTACTGCACTGCCCATGTTGGCTGTAGCCTCCTTGGCTCTTTCCACGTGGGTGGTCTTGATGCTGAGCGCAAAGGACCTCGTCATGTGGGACACAAACTCCACAGAGATGCCCACCGCCTGCAAACAGCACAAGTCAAACAAACATGCAATGTGTCAATTAAATTAATAACAAGTGAAAGTGATCACTATACAGGATAAATGTCTGGGGGTTCAGTTGTTTTGCCCTCAGCTGTGCTTTATACAAAACTGAAAGTGAGCAATTGTGTTTTCGCCTGTGTCTGTTAGCAAAATATTTTAAGAACCACTGGACAAATTCAAATGAATCTTCCAGTAAATAATAATATCATTTAAAATTAAAAAAGTGTTCAGAGTCAACTCGACTCAAGATGTCTGCCACAGCACTAGCTGATCATAAAAACACAAAATTAGCTGCAACTCGGTCCGTTTTAGAGATACTGAGCTAAAACTTCTAGAAAAACTTCTTAGAACAGCTTCTACCCTGACCAGGTTAATCACTGTAAGAAAAAAGAAAAATCACTGTAATGCCACTTTAATTGGTGATGTGACTTATCTGTGCTGCTGATTATCCATGCTGCTGATCTCGTGCTGCTGATTATCTTATGCTGTTGTGTTCATTCATACCCATCTACTCACCACAGACTCATGTTCGTGCTGCTGTTATGCTGTATTGTTTTACATTATAGCGTATATCTTAGATCTTTTAGCGTACCGTTTGGTGTTTGTTTAGCGTATATATCTTAGATCTTTATTTACTGTTTCTTTTATACTTTATATTTTGCTATTTTTGGGTGTAACTGGGACCCTGTGTACATAATTTTGTTCCACCTCATGTACCACATGTATAGGAAAGGACAATATAGTTGACTTGAACTTGTTGTATTAGTAGCCAGTCAGTGAGATCTTTGTTTAAAATGTTGCCACTTATTATTTAGAGTCAATTCTGTCTGTTAGCAAAAAAATTCACAGACCACTGAACGAAATATAGTGAAACTTTTAGGTAAAAATGATTGGATTTACTTCTACAACTGATTAACTTTAGGCAGCAACCTTATTCAAGATGGCCGCCATAGCCAACTGACTTTAGAAAACACAAAAATGGCCATAACTTTTGGGGAGTGGTGGCGCAGAGGTTAGAGAAGATGGGCTTGTGATCAGAAAGTTGCAGGTTCAACTCCCGGTACCGTCAACATCAAAATGTGGGTGGAAAAGGTGAAACACCCACACCTGCCTCCACCCTCATTTGCCCCTCTCTGGGCCCTTGAGCAAGGTCGTTAACCCCCACCACCTGCTCTCTAAACAGGTCTCTCTGGAAAATGAGTTCTCGTGTCTCAGTGAGACTATCTGTATAAATAAAGGGTAAATGAAAAATGAAAAGACTTGATAAGTTTTACAGACACTGTGCTAAAATCTGGTCAGGTAGTAGCTGCGTGTGATTCATGACACATGAGCTAACTGTAACGTCTCACAATATGCCAAAGCACAACTACATCATTTTACAACATAAAATGATTTTAGTCTGGCATGAAAAGCAGTGGGCGAAATGCTCCCAGTAAAGCAGACTGGGCTGTAATTACTCAGCTCTACAGGCCGTCGATCAGTTTTCATGATGTTTTGTTAGAAATATTTTTGAGCTTTGTATTTTTTATGACCCCTAAGTGGAGGAAACATCACCAACATTTTGTGCCGTTTTCCAGGGTGCCAATCCAAACACTAGTACTTTGGTATTGTTATATTTCAGTACCCCTGAAATCCACATTAGAGACATTTTCCTACCGTGACCAGATTGATCAGGGCCACTGCGTTGTAGTCGATGCTCCATAATGTCATGACGCCAACAGTGTCCACGGTGATCATGATGATGGTGAGCAAGTTGAGCAGGCCGGAGCGCAGATCCAAGCCCAGCAGCAGGCAGCAGACCACGAAGGTCGGCAGCAGACACAGAGAGATGTTGAAGAGTCCCTCTGGCACGATGGTCAGGTACTGCTCATAAAACACATTAGTGATCCTGGAGGAAGAAAAAAAACAACAATCAAAAGCAGCTTAAGCTTCATGGTTAATTTCACGTGAATGTTTTTAGGACAGCAGAGCGTTTTGCAGAGTTTTAGAAGCCGGAGAAGGTGAACTAAAGTGCATACGTGTAAGGGAAGACTTCGAAGTCAGGCGAGGTTCCTGGAACTTTCCTCATGCTTTCGGTGATGTTGGCGGCCAGCTCTCTGGCTCTTAGCAGAGCGGCGGTGAACTCCTGGGAGTTGGTCAGAGGTGTGTGGTACGCCATAAACCGAGAAGCTACAACAGGAGGAATGAGTCACTAGCACCTGTCCCACATTAATAACTGTAACACCTTTAACATAACAAAGACAACTCGCCTATTATTTCTCCTCTTTCATTCCTCACCACAGACGTGTCATAGGCTCCCAGACCACTGTAACAAGACAGCAAGGAGTGAGACTGTTGATTGATTGTGATGTTTCTGTCTGTATGTGTGTGTGGCTACATTACACACCCTTTGGAGCACTGCAGGTCAGGCCTGTTACCCAGGAAGTCGGGGAGGAAGCGGTAGAATTCGTCCACGTTGGGCCTGAGGACACCATCTGCAGGAGCCTTCATACACTTGCGTCCACAGAGAATAGCAGCTAATGTGACGAGAAAATAATGTTAGTGAAATGAACGTGACTCTTGGTGTGTGCAATAACACACTACGGCTAAGAATGTTGCTCACATATGTTCGCTGGGCAGAATTCTCCGGTGTTTGGACCAAGGGTGTACAGGCGACAGCATTTGGAGCCAGGGTTTAACCAGTCAATGAAGTCATCCACCCATGAGTTAGCAGGAATAGCCAAATAGGATCTGCAGATAACATCGGGTGGTGAAAGGAGGACAGACTGCAAACATCAACATGATGTTTTGTTTTTTATTTCTTTGTCTCTAATTCCCATAAAGTCCTGGTCCTTTTCTCCTGGCAGCTCCATGTTCAACATCCTGAACCTCCTGTTAAAATGCCAGGTTTTTGTGATTTAAGAAAAATTAGACTAACTTTAACGTGACATAGATCCTGTAGATTTCAACTGAAACATAAAATTTGTTGAAGGACAAAATATGAAAAATCAAACAATGCAATAAGCTGGATGCACAACACCCTTAAATACTTTAAAACATCTGATTTAACTACTGCCTTCAGTCTTCTTGAGAAGGAGAGTATCAGCAGGCCACACCTTGACTTATTAGGTATTAAGCACTACTGTTCTGTATTTCCAATTCCATGGACATTTACTGAAACCCCACATCATGATGCTGTCTTCACCGTGTTTTACTATGGGGGTGGTGTTGGCTCGGTGACACAGTCTTGTTCCTGCAATCATATTTTCTCACAAGCTTTTGGTCCCTGACAGGTTGACCTGGGATGTGCAGTCTGGATAATGTCACTGTTGTCCTGTTCGTTTTGTATATATATATATATATATATATATACAAAACGAAC